TTTTCTCCTTTTTTTTTAAAAAAAAAAAAAAAGTGAAAAATTTTGCAGGGAAAAAAAAATAGTGGCGTTTTGCCGACCTGTCCCACGCTCCGCTCTGAACTTGTCCCCCCGCTGGCAGCTTCTGCCTTTCCGATCGGGTCATCACCCCGTTGGGGTTTTGTTCCCGTCCATTCCCCGCTCTGTGTTGTGCTAACACTTATCTTTTTTTTTTTTTTTTTTTTTTTTTTTTTTTTTTTTCCTCCCCGTAATCTGTAACATTCATTTCCCCGGAGTCAATTTGCTAAAATGAGGGTGATACACCACATCATAGCCGAGATAATTTCGGTTCGCATCTCAGAAAATTGCTCTAATTATTGGTGTTAAACTCAGGGAAATTAAAAGAAGGCACTTCTCCTTCATCTCCTGATTTTAAGCTCTAATTTGTTGAAATCGAGTTGTCATCACAATTCCAATCACTACCGTTAATAGTAAAAGTGTTCTAATAGAGCCAGAATTCGCGCAACCCATGCTATTAGATAATTAAGAAAGATGTTAGAAAGGCAAGTGCTAATCCTTGGGCACACGGACAGCATTTCCATCTGATCCGGCAGGTAGAACAAATTAATTACCAGAATCAATTAGTCCTAAAAGTACAGTTCTCAGGGTAAGCCATGCCTTCCATATGGATGAGCTGGTAAATGGTAAATAGATGAGGAAAAACCTTTAAAAGAATAGAAATGGCAATCGTCCGCTTTTAATGAATCTGGAACTCGGAGCGCCCGAGTTTTCCAGCGGTGCTGCCTCGCCGCCGCCGGGCACGATCCCTCCGGGGTTTAGGAACAGGTTTTAAGAAGGTCTGGTTAGGACACCTGCAAGCTGGGAAGGTGCAGATGTGGCTCCTCCAGCGGTTCCACCGGGCCAAAACTCGGGGCAGGGGGGTCCCGGCGACCTTGCCCGTCTCACCAGGAATACCCCCCCGGGGCGTTTTTCCCGCCGTGCACAGGCGGTGCGTGTTGCAGCCACGCACACGCTGCGGTTTACGCGTGCAGTGCCCATGCGCGGGGCGCTCATCACGCACTTAAGCGACATATATGTGTATCTATAGCTATACATCCCTGTCCACCCAGTATGGATGCGGGTGCAACGCTGCGCTGAGGCGGGAGCGCTTTGGGAGGTGCAGGGCTGGGAAAAGGCTCATCTACCACGGAGCTGCCAGCAAAACTCCCACTTTTCCTCCAGGAAAAAAAAATAATAAAAAATAAAAAATAAAAATTATTTAAAAATTTTTTAAAAATTAAAAATAAAATCCATTGCAGCATCCCCCTCCTGAAACACCCATTTCAGCATCAGCCTGGGATATTGGCCAGGGGTTTAAAAATACGAACAGGCTCTGAGGAGCAAATGAGTAAGCAAATGAATTAAGAGTGATGAAACGGGTCTAATGCCCAACTTGTTAATGGAGGGAGCACGGCCACAGGCGCGTAAGCCGCTTGACTGGCCATTTCATCAGCTGAGATTGCTTCTCCGGGAGGGCTGGGGCTTTACACATCACTGGGGTGTGAATATATATATATATATAAAGCAGATCCGAAAGATTAAAAACATGTAATTTCATCCAGATTGGGTCACAGCTTTAGGACTCAGGCAGGAGCTTGCTGACCTGACAGCCACATGGAAAGGGGCTGCTTTTCAGAGTCCCTCTTGATTTAGGGTATAGCTGGGGAGGGGGGAATGGGGCTGCTGTCTTGGTGAGCAACAGCAGCAAAACCCAGCCCCAAACTGGGCAGCAGAACTTCAGGCACTGCCGCCTCTCCCTGGTGCTAACTCAAGGACAGCAGACAGAGGTGATAAATCCCCCACCTGTGGAGGAGTCCCCTAAAAAGAAGGTAGACCCCAGGAAGGGGAGAATGCACTGCAGTCCTCACACCCAGGGATTTTTTCTTAATTTAACATTTCATGGCTTTTTTGTGGCAGGAAGGGGGTCCCAGGTGCTTCCCACCATCGGCTGGCAGTGCTGTCAGGGTGGCCTCTTTGCCCTACAAGCCTCTTACCTATTTTTCCCCTTTTGGCCCTCTTCTGCAGGTCCCCATGGTGGTGGGGACCCAGCAGTATGGATCTCACCCCCAGAACCCCAAACACTCCCAGCCCCGGCTGCACCCTCAGCCCTCTCCGAGGACCAGCCCTCAGATCACAGATTAGCCCTTTTTTCTGGCTGCCCAGACCTATGCACAGGAGCAGATATTCCTATGTACTTTTGCATACACACACAATTCTATTTGCTGCCAAGTTCACAGGTGAGTCGAGTCTCCAGAGACCTCCTCTCAAGGGAGCAAGGTCCCCTATTGAGGTGATCCCACAGCTTTTTCCCCAGATCTGGCAGAAACTGCCCCAAACCTGGGGAGAAGCTGAGGTCTCACTTCCCACCATCGGCTGGCAGTGCTGTCAGGGTGGCCTCTTTGCCCTACAAGCCTCTTACCTATTTTTCCCCTTTTGGCCCTCTTCTGCAGGTCCCCATGGTGGTGGGGACCCAGCAGTATGGATCTCACCCCCAGAACCCCAAACACTCCCAGCCCCGGCTGCACCCTCAGCCCTCTCCGAGGACCAGCCCTCAGATCACAGATTAGCCCTTTTTTCTGGCTGCCCAGACCTATGCACAGGAGCAGATATTCCTATGTACTTTTGCATACACACACAATTCTATTTGCTGCCAAGTTCACAGGTGAGTCGAGTCTCCAGAGACCTCCTCTCAAGGGAGCAAGGTCCCCTATTGAGGTGATCCCACAGCTTTTTCCCCAGATCTGGCAGAAACTGCCCCAAACCTGGGGAGAAGCTGAGGTCTCGCTGGGCTCATCTAGGAGACAAAACAGGAGGGGCTGCAGTCAGTGCAAGGTAGGGAGAAGGAGCAGGTTGGGCTGTTTTACTCACCTTGTGTTTCCCTTCCCATGTGGGGGGACCAGAATTGCCCCTCGACGCTGTCTTACACCTCCCCTGAACACGTCTGCGAACCCAAGTAGACACGCTACTGTGGAGTTTGTTCGTTGTTTCTTCAACAAAACAAAATCATTTCTACAGGCTCAAAGAGCTTTATAAACTTTGCTGGTAGCCATGCACACATAGCCCCCCCATATACACACACACACCCCTTTCATGATTTAATAACATATATAATACACGTGTGCTTTGGTTACATAAACACCAGTTGTCATTACTTGCACGCTTAAGATCATTTGAAGGTATTATGGGGAAATTTTGCCCTGGAAAACAGAAATTTATTTGACTTAAAACCTAGGGGGTCATTTAAAAGGTCAGTGCAGCTACATTGATGTTAGTAGCTTTATTTCAGTGTGTTGCATTAGGGATAAATTTGGTGCGGTTTAAAAATACATGCACTTACCTTCCCGTGGCTCTTGAAGAGGTAAGGTAGCTTGGGAGCCCAGCCTTTTCATGCCTTTCAAGACAAATCCACTCAAAAAGGAAGGGTTA